CTTTTTTTTTTTTTTTTTTGGAGAACGGGCGAAAATCCGTGCGCGCGCAGGATGTCATCCATAAAATTAAAAAAGTGTGGCCTTATATCAACCATATCATATGTAGTGCATGCTATCAATACTGATATGGCACAGTTTCGATAAAAAAGTTTCAAAGGCCATATTATCATCTGCTACCACAGTAAAAAGAGTGCACAAGATTTTACATTTTACTGTTACACTATTCACTAACTGCTCGCCTCGTGCTCTGATGTGACAATATGGCCGAGGCATTGGCAGCAGCTTTCAAAGATAACCTCTTGACATGTAGCATCTGTCTGGGAGAGTACGAGGACCCCCGTGTGCTGCCTTGCTACCATACATTTTGCTATGGATGTATATTTTACCATAGCAAGAGAACTCTTACTCAAAAAAGAACATTTCTCTGCCCTGTTTGCCGGGAAGAAATCCAGTTTCCAGTTGGTGGACTTACTCAGCTAAAAAAGAACTTTGTCTTAAGCAAAGCCAAGGACATCATAAACCAGCAACAAGCATGTACAGGAGCATTAGAGATTGGGCAACCCAATATAGCCGCAGTGACACAAGCCATTGCACAAATGACCACCAGTTCCGACTCTGACATCACGATTCACACCAAAGCTCTAACAGAGATATTGGCAGGGATGGAGAAAATGTCAGTGCCAACTCCAGACACAACAACACAGATATCCTACAGCCCTGGTGAAATATCTATTGCCAGACAGGAAGCCATGTTAGGAGAGATGACCGTTCAGTCAGAACCTTTTAGACTGGGGACAGACCTATGCTCAGCAACATATCCTCCTGTTTTCTTAGAGAAGGCAAAATGTGTGCATTCATTTTCCACAAGGCTGAAATGTGATAAAATCATGTTCCTAAATGGGCTGGCCATAGATAAAGAGCATGTGTTTATTGTGAACAGTGATAGTGACATCAAATATTACAGAACAAATGTATTTACACATGAAGGACAATTCAAATTTGACATAAAACTAAATGATCCATTTGATGTGGCTGTGTCACAGACTGGTCACCTGTATATAACATCACAGGGTGAAAAATGTGTCAAAGTATACTCCACCAGAGGTAAGAAGGTAAAAGACATTGGTCTCGGCAAACTTGAGGAACCATATGGTATAACATTGAACAGGCAAGGTCATGTGATGGTTTGTGACCTGAAAAAGAAATCCATCTTCACATTCCACGCAGACAGTGGACAGCTTCTGAAAATTATCCCACTCATTATGAGTAGATACCCAGCATACATCACAGTGAACAGTGTGAATGATAACGTTGTGGTATCAGACTGGGGCAGTGACTGTGTACATGTGCTGTCACCTACTGGCAACTGCCTGTACCAGTATGGCACACAAGGCAGTGGTGATGGTCAGCTGTGGGGGTCTTATGGAGTGTGCACAGACGGCTATGGTCACATCTTCGTTGCTGACTGTCAAAACCACAGGATAGTAGCACTGAGTCCAAAAGGACAGTTTATCAGATACATTGCCACTGAGGATGATGGGTTGTCGTATCCCAGAGCATTAGACATCAACCCTGCTGGCCAGCTGGTGGTGGCAGAGGATAACCAAGTTAAGACATTCCAGTACTTAGAATAAATGGTGTTCACATTTTACATATTGCAACACTGAACTTTAATGTGATGTTGCTATTGACTATGACATGTAGGAGAAGCCTGTTGAGAAACTACTATAATGCATTCCCAATAAACTGAAAGTATATTTAACAATGCTGAGCTCTTCTTTATCATTACCAAGACCTGTAGGGTCAGAGCCAACCTGCTGTGGCCCCCCTAACACAAGCTCTCCACTAGTCACAGTTTTGTGCCATTCGATCTGCTTGAACCATGGACCCAAAAATGTCCATGAAATTTGCGCTGTAACGGGTTTTAGGTCTACAGTGTCCTTAAGGTCCATATTCTGTTCCCATAAATAATAACTTTGATATACAAGTCAGTTACTAGTCATTTACTGTTACAAATAAATTGTTAGTACAACTGGTCAGCAAGGAGGGGGGGGGGGGGGGCACCAGCTGCTCCTGCTGACATCATCATTTGTACTGTTACAAAGAGGTTTTCTCATATTAGCTGGAATATTTTTTCACAACAGCGACTAATGATCAAAATATATCATGCAATAAAATATGTAATTCATCCTTTAATCAAAGCTTTGTTATTTTTTTAATTGAAGCCTTACAAATATGTCAACAAAACATTGCATTTAGTGAAGAATGTTTGGTGACATTTGGACTCAACGTAACGTACCCACTTACGACTTGTTTACAAACTTTGAGATGTTTTTCAGGATGCTTCCTATAGCAAACGAACTGGATTAGCCCCAATTTTTTTTTTCATATACTTTACTCATATGGTGAGAGTAGATCATGTCGTACAACTTTTGTCAAAATTTCAAGGGCAGAAATGGTGTTTCTAAAATATGAGAGTATCCTAAGTTTTGATTACTCTTAAGTTCCTAATAATCATACCTATACAATTTTTTTCGAGATTTTTCTACGCGATACTCATCATTCCTGCTGGTACAAATATTAATTTTTCCAAAAATTCCACACAATACAATAATTTGGCACCTTATACCAATGGGAATTTTGTGACAAGCATGTCAAGCATGTGATTTTTCGTGTTTTAATTATAAAGACATGTTGATGAAAGTGTATGTTAAGTCTAGGCCTATTTAAGCTTGTCAGTGTCTCTGAACAGTTTCAAAAGTTCGGAAATACCAGAAAGAGAAAAATGTAAACTTANAAATGTTATGGCCAAGTATTTAATTACCACTTGAGAGTTAATGTGGCAAGTGGTTTTTAAGCCCACAAAGGACGACTCAAAACTGACCAGACAAAACAATATAGCATTTCTTTTTAACTCGACCTGTATTTTAGACCCAAGGGGTTTCCTTCAAATGTGTAATCTGTATTTCATATAGTATAATATAAGCAGAGTAAAACAAACAAACAAACAAAACACATCCTTTGGAAAATGATCCAGTCACGCCGACTTTCGAACTCCACATGTATTTCATGTATATTCATCATATCTATAAGTTTGAAGACAAGGGGTCAAACGTTTTTCCACTTATCTTGTTATCACTGAAAGTACACAGCAACAACAGCAACATCAGACGCAGGTGATGACTATAAGTACAGACACAATGTGTCTGTACATAATAACTAATGAAAAATACTATTAGATGTACAATGTGGGTCAGTAGACAATTCCAAAACTCTGATAATGTTGGAAACCACTGACAGACATCCCAAGTTTAAGAATTACAGATCAAAGTTGTGTATGCTATCTCTCCTCTCACCAAAGTGACACTGTTCCCGGCTTTCTTCAGAGCATCCACGGCATCTGCATGCGGCACCTCCAATACGCTGGTCTGGTTGACCTTGACCACTATGTCATTTATTCTGAAATAGAGGCCGACATAGGGAATGAAATATTGGTGCAAATTCTTCTTTGTAAATATATCTAAGCAGCATCAATATATGTGACGCTTTTCTATCTATGGCCCACGTATACATCCCAAAACTTATCCAGACATTTTCATTCCCTTGGCCAAAAGATATAAATGCACTTCCTGGAATATTGAGCTACAGTGTGCTTTGTTAAATGACAATGTCTTCCTGTCAACCATGCTTCTCTTGTGTCACCTTAAGCCTAGGTCCCATCTACGTTTTGGACGCACGGTTTTTAGGTTCCTTGCGTCTGGCTAGGACATAGCTAGATTGCACGTAGCGGCTGTTGATCATGCCGAAAAGTTTCTACATGCTGTTTGCGTCCTCCATAAGTTGCACAACGGACGTGCTCCTCACGCACAAACTCCTTCCCGATTCCTTCCCTACGATCTAGCTACGTCCTAGCCGTACGCAAGGAACCTAAAAACCGTGCATCCAAAACGTAGTTGGGACCTAGGCTTTACTCAAGATAATTCTATATCTAAACAGAAATTGAACTAATTTGAAATAGCAAAGAGGAACCAACCTCAACCTTCCGTCTGCTGCAGCAGCGCCCCCTGGTATAATTTTTGTGATGAAGATGCCGGGGTCGTCATCAATGTGTGGGTTATCTGTGCCACCTGCGATACTGAAACCAAGTCCTGCTCCTCCCTGGAGAAGAAGAAATAGGATATACATGTTTTTTTTTTGTAGGGGAAATAAAAATTGGTTTGTCTGTTCACAAGCCATAATATCACCATATGTTTGCATCCTTTTTCCAACTTCAGAAATTACTGCAAACAGGTAACAGTCTATAAAATCAGACTGGTAATTTTCAAAGTGTGAAAATGCTGTTATAATGGAAATGCTCTATAGCACCCACCCTTGCCATCTGTATCACCCACCCTTCCAATCTATATCACACACCCTTGCTATCTGTATCACCTACCCTCTCCAGTGCAATCTCTTCATATTCCCACTCTATGCCATCTCCATTCATCTGCAAGGTATAGGAAACGTGTAATTAAGAAATATAATTACCAAGGATATTTATTTACTGGATTTGAATCCATATTCGTCCAAGTCCAGGATAATCTGATCTGATCTGTACACCTCATGGAGTAAGATTACACAGGTGAAAATGAATATACTGAATCCTGAGGACTGACAATTCCAAATCAATATTTTTTACATATCTGTCCAGCACAATTTGTGATCAGATCAAACCTTGGTAATTCGTATCACAATAATTCCTCAATAATTTTAATCAAAAAACTATATTAATCATATTTCAGACAATGCTTTATCAACAAAACCTGTAAAGTACCATGCCATCAGTATAAATACAAACTTAATAATAGCACACAGTACACTATATTATGATTAACTGAAAACTGAAAGGATTGAAAAGCAGTTGGTAGAACTATGGGATTTGAAATGTAAGAAAAACTCCAGAAAATATTAAGTCAAAATGCTGATCTGGGGCAAAGGGTTTGACTGTGTGCATGTTGAAAAGTGATTTTAATAAATTGGAATAATCTGGTCATCAGAAAACAACCCACTGGCTCCTCAGACTGAATATGAAAGTCAACATCCCTCGAAGTCCAGAGTATTAATGTCCCAGGACCAAAATATTCGCTTTGGAACATGAAGATTAACAGGTGTGTGTGTGTGTGTGTGTATGTGCACGTGTGCGTGCATATGCATTGTTGGACGAGTTGTGGCATTAACTTGGTCTCCAACCACTGGGCTATACTCTTCAACCACTGCTATACTCTTCAACCAAAGAAAGCCAATCTAATCTCTCTGTTATCCCGCCCAATGGCACTGTTAATGAATGAAATTCTTTGTCTTAACATTGCCTTCCTACAGTTAAAATCAGATCAAACCATCAGTGAAAAAGGACAAGCTTCAAGTATATCAATCACAACTTTAATGGATATATAACTTTGATACTCCAGTGTCCAGAAAAGCCAAAGGTTTACATATGTATGTATACAAACTCTACTGAATGATTCATGCCGCTCACACTTTGACTGCTCTCTAGTGAATTGCTAATTGCTCATCTTTCAATCTTTTGCATGATTCAGGAAGGTGAAATACTGGTCGATTATGTTTATTCAACCCTGGTGTAATTTGATTTGGTTTACATGAATCATAATTGGCAAATCTCTGGAAATACATTTCCCAATTTTGTGCACCTCTAAACAAAGGATCATTGCCTGGTAATATGTGTTCTGTGTATGCATTTGAATTGGACTGAATTAACTTCACTGACATTCGACTTTTGTAGAAAGATAGCCACTGGTGCTATCTTTAAAATTCTGGACAGTATAATTGTCAATACAGAATGTGCCCAATTAAAAATGAGACATCATCTGACAAAGACCATTCCTTGACATGGCAGATTGTACATCATACATAGCTGCAGAATCAACACTAAAATTTTTTAACAAGCAAAATTGAATCCAAACGGGGTGTGTGTGTGTGTGTGTGTGTGTGTGTGTGTGTGTGTGTGTGTGTGTGTGTGTGTGTGTGTGTGTGTGTGTGTGTGTGTGTGTGTGTGTGTGTGTGTGTGTGTGTGTGAACAAGAGTAAGCCATGACAGACAGCAGTACATCATGCATAACCCCGGCCACACAATGTGATTACTATGGAATAAACACAAGTAATCTGTTGCCAAGTAAAGAAGACAGAGGTGTTATGTCCTTTAAAAACTAATTTTTTTTATGTTTTTTTTTAATCTATTTATCTCTAACTTTATACCTGTAGAGTAATGTACTTACATGTTGGGTCTCTGATGCCTCCAACTCTGCTGCCTGTGGCTGGAAAGTAATGAGGGATAATGTCATTATCACTGAGAAATAGTGGCCAGGGACACTAGAGTCCACTCTGATAACAATTAGCAGAGATAAATTATTCTTAAAAGACAAACTAGCACAATAAGGGAAATCTATTCCTAATTGATGTCTTTCAAAAAGTGCTGCTTCTTTGGAAGAACAAAATGAAAAATCTTTTGAATTTATTTTTAGTTTTTATGTTACTGTTTTGACTAGAATATTTGGTTTAGCTTAAAATTTCCACCCAACTGGCTAAAAACTTAATAAATGACCAATTCAAATTGATTTGTTAAAATTGACAAAATCTGCAGACAATTTTTCTTCGTGCTTTAATATATATCAAAATCGAAATCAAAATCGATGCATCAGAGCTTTGGTGCATTTAAGATATAATAAATTCGACAGAATGTCTTTAGGGAAGTTACGCTAGTAATGAAAAAGAATATTTATCTTAATTCCACATTGAGAGCGCTGTCAAACGCGTCCTAATGTAATACACTCAACGACAATAAAACTTCTGCATGAATGTTTAATGCTAAAACAGAGTGCATGCCATCATCCTTTCTCACCCTTACAAATACATGTAATGTACAACTTGATTCCAATATTCTTCCTTTCACTTAAAACCTGGCTATATTTACTGATGTTTTCCCTATGTATCACTTCCACACTTTAGTAAGTGCTGTGTAATGCAATAAGCCTCACACCACTAGCAATTTCAATTCTCTCGTGAAGTGAAATAATATCTTCATCAATCTGGTTTTAAAACACTTCTGACACTACAAGAGTCCCTACACAACTTCATTAATATCATGCCGGACCTTACCAGAAGGCAGCAAACGTTTCTAAGACAAAGACAATTCTAATGGAATATCCAGCCTAAAAGCCAGCATTTCACTCACTTGGTTAAGTCGCACAAAAGTTGGATAATTCTGATACTTTGAAATAGAATGTAAGCCACCATGAGACCAAAACTGCTCTATCAGCTTTAGAAATACATCATTTTATCCACACACCAGTGGTAACAAATAGCATTTCCATAAATACTATAATAAAGGACTTAGTCGGGGGAATATGTGGTTGTCATGCCAACAATTGGCTGCCTACTTTAATAATTAACATGTTGCACCTTCACTTGTCATCAGTGACTAATTCTGCAAACTAACATTTTTCAAATATTTCCACATTATTTTTTTGCATCAGGACAGCTCTTCAATTTAAACTCTAAATCACTACACACACAAACACACACACACGCACACACACATTTTTAAAAAAATATAAATCAGGCATACCTATGGGAGTGACTATAACTTAAATGCTAGAGTGTGGCTGCCCAAATTGACTTCACTCAATATCAAATATACTGTGTAAGGCTGAACAGCCCAATTCCAATGATCAATACCAAAATAACCGCTTTTTTACTTAAAGATAAAACAAAGGGAATCAAATTAATAAATAAATACTTTTGACAATAAAAAGACTTTACTGTCATTTTGTGTACGCATTTCCCCAATACTCAATACCCTTACTTAATTTTCTTTTTTTTCTATATAAAAATGAAAATCTTGCATCTTAAAATGAGGCTCATTATACTTGACAAACAATTACAGATACATAAATTTAAGTACCAGTTTGTTACACATCATAAATAAAACCCTTATGCCAAAAAAAAAAATAATAAAAAAATAAATGAAAATTAATGGAGAGAGAGAGAGAGAGAGAGAGAGAGAGAGAGAGAGATGAAAATGCAAGAAATCCCTTCAAAAACTGTAGAATTGATGCCCCTGTACCAGACAAAAACAATTAAACCTACACCCGCAGGAAAGTAAAATGTACTAGGAGAGCTATCTCCAACCATAAGCTCTCTATCCCACATCCAGTACTCACATTCTCAAACATAATGGTATTGACATATTTGTAAAAGCTGACGGACTTCTTGCACCTATGACGATGCCTGGCCCTCAAATACGAAATCATAACTGGATACCAAAGTCTCTTTGGAAAGAACTCCATTCACGCCCCGCGTCACCCACTGCCAGCAGAGTGCAGCAACAAGATGATATTGATTTAATGTCCTCTATGATCTGTGGGGCAATGAGAAGCTGGCCACACAGAGGAACATACTGTATGCAAGAGGAAATTCAATTACGCTGACAGAAAAAACTATATTTTATAGGCGATGCAATCTGGGCCGGTTCTGCCTCAGCTGGGGACTGCTATACGTCATACTATCTATCTACCAACCAAATACCATTACAATGCTAATCTTAAATGCCTCATTGTCAAAAGCTGAAGACTTGATCAACAATAAAAAAAGGCATGCATCCGTCACATATCACAGCAAATTGACCAAATCTGGACAGTCCCTACAGAAAGCTGACAAGAGACACTGAAGAAATAAGAGTTGGGAAGAACACGGGGAGGGGGGGGTTTGAAGGTACCTTTGAACAAAAAAGAAAGAAAGAAGGCAAAAATTGAACAATTTCGCAAAGATAAGTTACATATCTCTTAGTAAGCTTTAAATTAGACCAGATTCATGAGGCACCCGCTCTTAGGGAAACGGGACGCATTTATAAGGGAAATAAAACTTCTGGTAAAACAGGCCAATCTAACTGCTTCATGGCTGTGTTCAAGAATAGGAAAACTTATGCCAATAATTTTCTTTTTTTGCATTTACTCCCAGATTTAGTTTGACAGCAAACCTTTCCAACATTCAACACCTTGACCAAGCTGGAGAGGCCATGACTGTAGTCAACACTAAAACAACTTTCTTGAAGACAGAGCTGAACACAGCTCCTCATATCAGCGAAGCGTTCTTTCACTGTTGTCAGAATGTAGTGAACACTAAGACGTTTTCCGTGCAGACGGTGCCGAACACAGCCCCATATATTACCTCGTCTCCTTGAGGGAAGTTTTCTCTCATTTCCTGAAAACTTAACTTAATTGTTGTCTACTAAATGCGATTACACGGGCTGCAGGATTGATTTCCAGTGCTTGCTACACCTAGGACCTGTCAGGAGCGGCTGAGACTACATGGACGGCACTCTGCAGACAGGAGAATTTGCTAAACCACTTTTGTAAAATTATCTCTCTAAGAGATTTAAATTAGATATTTATATGCAAGCACTATATGCTCCTTTTCTTTCTTTCACTCCTTTCAAAAGTCAATGGTGGCATATTTTCCTTCTTTAACAAATTAAAATAACTGTGTCTCAGCAGAAAATCCATTAATAGGGCTGTATTTCAGCAAAGCACTGAAAAAAAGAGGTCCTATGTAGTGACCCAAGCACCAATGACTCTAATTATAAAGAACAGAATAGTGTCCAGGTGCAGTTGTAATCATATAAAGGAAATCATAAGGTACGGTAATCTTTTCAATAGGGGAAAACTGTAAATTTTACAGATACAGTATTTTTTTAATAACCTCTTTTAATTGGAACAGTCCTGTTGACTTGTAACAACAGAATTTTAAGCAGGACATTCTGTAGTCCATCCTATGCAGCAGAAATGCTTTATAAAAATATATTTCTTAGCCATTATAAAATTATGTTTCCCAAAGTTTGATAGTTTTTGCCCACTGAAAAGATTGAGAAAATATCATAAATATTGCAAGTGATCTCCATTGCTGAGGGCCGTGGACAAACCATGTTGTGGTAACCAACGAACGCCGCCTGTATCAGAAAACACCTTCAGTTGTGCACTTGGCATGTTATGCTACCCATCTTTTCTGGGTCAAAGATGATCAAGACTTAGGCTGGAAACCAAATTTCGACTTCAGCTTTATTTTTTCTTTTCTTTTCTTTTTTTTTTTTTTAATGGCTGCTAGATCAAACATTTATATTTTAATCTATCTGTTTTCAAGCCATCTTTCTAAATGCTACATGCTAAAAATGCTAAACTAAAAGATTTTTTTAAATTCTACTTTCACAAAATTATATGTAATTTTGGTCAACATAATAGTCTAGTCGAAAAAGAAATCCCCAAAGCAGGTCTAGGATCAATTAATTTTCTTCTTTTCCATCCAATGTCCATGATTGGGTTGATGGCCTTTAAGTTACAAAAAGTTGGCACAATAAACATTTAGTCTCAGATGGCACTCGAGTTTTCTCCTCTTTATGGCCAATCTTCTAGTTCTAGGCAGCATATCTGAATAAGACACATTTCCTATCCACCATCAATACTCCATTCCTCAATCACTTCAGACATAACAACACAAGACAGGCTTTTGTCTGCTGATAAAGCAGCGGAAATGATGTCACATTTGGTGCTTTACGGAAGGTACTAACAAAACCAAATGGTCTTGAATTTGCTATCATTTTCCTAACTGCTGTGTGTTATTATTTGACTGCTCTTTTTTCCTCACTTGTCCATTCTCACAGGCACTGGTTTCACTGACACCTAACATCTTAACATGAGAAAAGACTTGAATGATGTAAGTAAATCCTGAGGAACAAATTGGACATTTCATTTTATAAATTCTTCCACAAGTTATCGAGTGAAACCTGTACTTGCAGACCAAAAATTTCATACCAACCGTAGCAAATTCAATCAATTATAAAAACAACTTCCTTTGACAACTTTTTAACACCTTCTTTTTCACTTAAAAAAGAAGAAACCTAGGAAAATGAATAAACATTCAGTCGCAGTCGCACTGGGCAATGCTGTACTTACTGGTGGAGTGTCCAGGCGGCGCCACCTGCAGAGCCCCAATGCCAAACACAAGGCCTCGGTAGTGCTCATATCACTGTATACCTGCCGGACTACTTCACTCTGCATGGCCGACATCTTAGTCCTAACATAAACACAGCTGTTGGCTATGACAGCCACTTCTTTGTATATATCTATATCATATACTTCCTAAGTGTATAACAACTTTGTTGGGAATGAATCAAGAGCTTCAGCTTCAATAATCAGGCAAATCCGCTTTTTCCAATTATGACCACTTCAAAGTCCTTTGTGTCCCCTCAAAGGCAATGATACCATGGCCAAAACACCACTTAAGTTTTTATCAAAAATTAAAAAAGGAGATTTGCAAGAGCCTACAAGTCCTGATTAATCTTTACTCATGCTGACGATTACAGCTGGTGAAGCTGTGGAAATGTTTCTCTTGCGCAAGATTTGAAAGACCAGAGGTGTAATGTGCTTAGTCATTTCATTCCAGATTTTCCCACATCCAGAAACTCAGCTAAGTCTGTCACTAGTAACACTAAGATCTAGATGGTGATGAACAATGTCAGAACCTTCAGTGTACATCCACACACATAGGTCATTATAACCAAGTCACTATATATCCATCCTTAGGAATGGACAGTATTGGCAAACCCACTAGAAACTTAGGGAAGAAAGTCACCGCAGCAATTCTCTAAAACTTATACCCATATTTCAGAAGAGTGTGGAGTTGCAGTCAAGAAATTTCACTGTCCCTTATATTCCAAGTCTACACAACACAAACGAAATCCATAAATTAAGTTGCCTTAATCTCCGCATCCATTCTTTAACCAAAGTTTCTCTACATAAAAACACCAGTTACTTTTTATGGTTCAAAATATATTCAAGTTTGCTTTTCCCACATCTAAATTCATCAATAAAGCGTGCACCACTGAACAGAATTCCACCAAAGCAGTCTTCCCGCATGCACAAAGCATTCTACTTACGCGGAGCTTCCTAAAGCCTAGCGTCTTCAGTCGCCACCGTCTAACTGTCGCAGCAAAACAAAAGCCGTGTTTACTTACGGACTGTTCTCTGTAGCCCATACGACGCAGGCGGCGCTTTAACATAGCACGCGTACAACCCTTGGACATAGCTGTCACAGTCTGGACACTTTTTTTTTCTTAACAAAGATTCAGCTTGTTCCAGGTCAACTACAGCAGAGACCTCTATTGAGAATTTCCTGAAGTGACCCTGTTTGACAGAACGGTTTTATGGCATATCATCAGGGCACCAGTTTATCAGGCTGCTCTCATCTTGACTGAGGATTTATGAAAGATGGAACAAGCTTTTACGCCACTGCAATCACTCACTTAACGGTTCCCACTGGTCCTCAAAGCCTGATCAACTTTTAGGTGAAAAAAGGAAAGGTTGCAAAGTGCAGATGCCACACTCTCACACATGGTTCACTACTGCATCTGCAGGTCCTAAGGCTTTTTACCAATTGATACTATTCTTTAAGTCTTAAATAAAGCTTCATCTCTGGATTCTTTTCATTGGACGGGAGCCTTCGCGGAATTCACCAGTAGAAATCATAAAAACCCTGACAAGAAACCAACAATGCTGTCTGTGGCATCAGGAAGGTGTTGAGCCTGGATTTCCAATTGAAACCTACACTCTTGACTTCGAAACACCTCCACTACCACCTTGACATCAGCCAACCCATGAAACCTGCCAGCAACGTTCTGACCCAGAGTTATGTCCAAGTATCTCCCTCCTATCAGTCCTATACAGGACAACCACAAACACTAGGAAAAAATGGTGGCAAAATAATCTACTAATTGTTTTAGAGAAGGCTCAGAGGACGCCATTAAGGCTATGGAAGGGCAAGATAAAAAGGGGAAAATTGGTGCTGCCTAAGAGGTCTCGTTTACATCACATAATTCAACACAAAGCATTTCTAGACTGCTCAAACTAGTGTGTACACCATGCAATATGTGGCCAGATATAAACTGCAGAATGTCCGATCACTGTGGTAAAAAAATATAATAATAAAAAAATTTAAAAAAACTAAATCTGATAATTTTTTATGACCTACATATCCCTTACTAGTAAAATTATTGCTTAAGAAGTACGTAAATGAAACCAAACAAGTATGTTATTACAATGTTGACAGTTATGGGATGCAAACTGTGGGCTCATTCCAGATGCCACTTTTGTTCCACATAGATCAATGCAACTCCTCAGGGCCTCTTGCTGAATGCAATCAGATTAACATGCATGCCTCCTCTTGTTTCCAACGTATATGAATGATCAGCAACTTTTCTGTATTCTATTCAACACCAGGGGGAGCCGTGTGTCAATCTGTTTAACTAATTGCATTCAGCTAGAGTCCCCAAGGAGTTGAATTGGTCTAAGTAGGACATAAGTCCTGTGTTTACTTCCATGTCTAACACAAGGTGCTGCGCAAATAATAACTTAAATAATAATTGTAATCAACACTGGGAAAGGATTCAGAAGCACGACTCCATTCAATCGAATGAGGACCTATTGCCATGTGAACGGAACCGTATAGACGAAGTGCCATCAATTATTCACCAAACTTCACACTTGCCCCGCGTAATGAAGATGGCTTCCAGCTTGTTCCAGACAATTTCAAAGCGGCTGAGATTTGTAAATGGATCATGGTCCCACTTCTATGCCACATTTTCCCCCATCCCAGCTCAATTAGTCCTGAAATTATCTGGGCACAGACACTTTATAATCTAATTGCATCGTACATTATCAGGTCGGCTCCCCGTTTTTAAAATCTCTTCCCTTCAGCTAGAAGATTAATTCTGGGCTGGAGGTCAGTTTTAAGGAAACTATCCCCACCATGACATGCTCTCTCTCAGAACCCAGGATATGAAAACACAGGTTACTACTGAACACCTCAGTGAGGTCAGTATTCTGCACACAGTGGTCAAAACTCCAGTAAATGGAGGCCACTCTGGGGGTCCAACACAGTGGTCAAACTCCAGTAAATGGAGGCCACTCAGGAGGTCCAACACAGTGGTCAAAATTCCAGTAAATGGGGGCCACTCTGGGGGTCCAACACAGTGGTCAAAACTCCAGTAAATGGAGGCCACTCAGGAGGTCCAACACAGTGGTCAACATGCCAGTAAATGGAGGTCACTCAGTGGGTCCAACACAGTGGTCAACACTCCAGTAAATGGAGGCCACTCAGGGGGTCCAACACAGTGGTCAACATGCCAGTAAATGGAGGCCACTCAGGGGGTCAGTAAATGGAGGCCACTCAGGGTGTCCAACACAGTGGTCAATACTCCAGTAGATGGAGGCCACTCAGGGGGTCCAACACAGTGGTCAACACTCCAGTAAATGGAAGCCACTCAGGGGGTCCAACACAGTGGTCAACACTCCAGTAAATGGAGACCACCTTGGGAGACCAACCAATGGCCTGCCCTCAGCAAACCACACCCAGGTTTTAAAATTACACTATTTACATTGATTACCCTAGCAGTATTTCAAGATACACCTCTTACCTTTTCCAAGAAGCGGGACTTTTTTCTTTGAATTCCTTTTTGATATTTTTATTAATCAATTAATTAATTAATTAATTAATTGTTTTTAATTTTAATTAAATAATGTTTTTATTTATTTTTAGGAGGGGGTGGGGGCTTATGTATTCTTAACACATTATCCTTCATTTGCTAATTATGTTAGTGAACTGCCTCCCCTCCCCCCCCAACTAAATTTTTTTTTTTTAATTTGAAAAAAAAAAAAAAAAAAAAGCCTAATATTTTAAACTTTGCATGGTCAACGTCTTACAATTCACCATAGAGAAGATGAGAACTGCAATTTTCTATCTCTCTCCTCCCACTCTCAATACAACTGAAGAGTTGGTATTAGACTCTTAATTTCAATACAGAAATCAATACAGCTTGCAGACTGGGAAATGACCTGAACAAAATCAATACATGGAAAGTGTTTTTAATTAACTTGTATAACTGTTTGGCCCTATCATTTAATAAATTGAATTAACTTGATGGAATTTGGTTTGTTAATTGCAAATATATACCATTTATATATGATGATCACATGCAATGTTAGTGAATCAATACATTTTTTTTTTGATAGTGACTGGTGCTGTATGTTCACATTATTATCCAGTGAGATGGAATCAACTTCACACAACTGGATTATGTAATTGCAGCAGTACAATAATGACCCTTTAAAGGATAATGGTGAATGTAAACAGGATGAAAAAATGGACTATTTTAATTTGTGTTTTCATATGGTGTTGCAACTGATAATACCATCTTGCCATAGTTTCAGCAAACAATCAATATAATTCACTGAAAATCAACCTAATTTCCAACCTCACATGATGCTTGCCTTGTAAACAGATAAAACACCATGACGTATTTTTATGATGAGCCTAACTTGGCCTAGTTGAAATGTAAATGTTTTAGGTGCTCAGTGGAACAGGAGAAGATTTTATTTTCTGATTGTGCTAGATGTGATCCATTGTCTTCTCTACTGCAATCACACTTCTACAGCTATACAAACATGGAGAAGTAGGAGTGGGAGTAAAGTGACATTCAACCCACTCTCCCCGATTCCAATTAAAATAATAAAAAAAAACCTAGCAACTAAGCCAGGGAACTGGCTTTTTTTTTTTTTTTTTTTTTTTTTTTTTGTGTGTGTGAATCTGGGGCCTGGTCTTAAAATTAATTTATTTCTTCCTTTTTACAGAACAGTCACGTTTCATCTGACTGGACTTCTACTGGGCTCAAAGAGGACTAAAAATATGTCATTTAAATCAAACCCTTCATTAGAGCTAAGCTCTTATCAGCCACTGGCCCCAAACAGTGTGGCCTGCTTACCTCTGGTGGTGAAGGTGGAGGTGGTGACTCTGGCACCGGTTGCCTCTGTAATGGCGGTGATGGCTGCTTGACTGTTGCCGGGGTAACTGTTGTGGTGGTGGTGGTTGTCGTGGTAATAACAGCTGCTGGGGGTTTTTGCTCTTTAGTTGGTGAAGATTTGTTTTGCATCAGCTCCGGGGGCGGAGGAGGGAGCTCTTCATCACGCTTCTGAAAATAAACAAAGTTTTATTCATGATTTTTTAATCAAAACACTTTTTGCTTCAGCTGAACAACTGCTGTTCTTTTCTCTTCAATTTTCAACCAAAGTGACTTCTAAGAGTTTTTATCATCACATATTAAACGTCAAAGTGTTACCACTTTCGCATTCAAATTAACTTTAAAACCCATCCAAATAATGGGTCTTTATTTACATCCTCAAATTAGAAACAATTTAAGTCAGAAAAACGAACACAAATAAACCTCCACGTCCCTTTACTGTAACTTCTAGCAATAATTCATACTCAAGACTGATATACAAAAATAATCAACTGGCATCTAGTGGTCAAAATAGAAAAGATATTAAATAAACAATGTCCACCCAAACAATATTAATACAGCAGAACCTTAGTGAGAAAGATTATCACTGAAAAAAAAAAAAAAAAAGAGTATGAGCACTCTTATCTCTCTGCCTTTCTTTTCTTTGCAATTAAATAATCATAGATTTTCTAAAATATTTCCATCTGAGTGAGAGTGACATTTCTCTGTTATCTCAAACACTGCAGTTAATATTAAAGCCACACACTGAGGTAATAATTGCACACAGACTATTGGCCATGCAGCATAGCTTCTACACACAGAGAGTAGATATATTATACCACAGGAGCTCGGGGGGGGGGGGGCATGCAGCTCCCCAGTGCAAGACTAAGGGGGATTTCCCCGTGTCCACTAGCCATAGACTATGTTTGTAGCAGGGAAGGTCAGCTTCAACTTGGACACCACATGGACAACTGTGGACCTCATAGCCAAAAGCAATTATCATCCTGTCCAGACAAGTCATTTCCAAGAGATTCCCATTCATGAGACAGACAGAGAGAGATTTATGAGTGGTAATTAATTCAAAAATAGACATACTAGTAACAGGACAGGATAAAAAGAGTCTTATCATATAAAAAAATTCCCCTTTTGTCATCTTAAATCCCACCCCATCAGTTACTTTGTTTTAATGCATAAAAATGTATGCTCTTTACGGATCCCTCCCAATTCTATCCTTATAGCAATATTCAATTATCCTTGTGTCCATCTTTGCATGATTTTCTTTGATAAAAGACAAAAATAAACTGATGACTACTTAGTACCAGTATCTGTACTTGTACTATTGAGCTGTAACCTAGCAGACCAGCACCAATCACAGATTCCAATCAACTTTATTCCTCCAATTTTACCTTTATTTTCCTTCCTTTGAGATATATATTATACTTTTTGTTCATGACCAAAATAGATTTTGCTATTAAACTTTTTGCAGAATATGTCAATCACTATATTCAGATATACTAGAAGCTAATAAAGCATTATATAGGGAAATATTAACTTAACATCAAATGTGTTCAAATTAGTGAAAAACCCCACATATTATACACTCCATTTTCCCCTTTCCCTAGTATACCAAAGCAGCTAGAGATATAATATATGTTATTTGCGAGTAAATACACCTCCAAAGACATTAACCATATGTTAACTATGTAGTCCTGTAACATAATGGGAGGGGCACAACCCACCCGTCTTGAAATATGCCGACATTATGCAAAACAGCTTTCCATGCTAATGTGCCAATTAGCATTTATATTAAAGCGCCTAGGTTACAAAGCTGGAAAGACTTTCACACAGTGGTCTCAGGGCGATTGTCGTCCCGCAGTTAAAAGCAAAGCATACCTCGGCAGGCAGTTTTATTAAGTTCAATTTTCTATAGGTCAAGTGGGACCATGCAAAAATGAGAAGATCAATGTCCAGTGGTAGTTGTTTTATTGAATTAATACCAAAATACTATTATCCATCACGGCAAATACCACTTTAATTTAACAAAGGTCTGTTAACTACGGTCATGGGCTTCACAAAGGAACCCTAGTCAATGTTTGGTCTTATCTTTGGCCTAACTTAGAAGAATCAGGAAATGTCAGTGAAAGTATTGTTTTACAGAAAAGTAAGAATGGTTTACATTTCAGACTGTTATATACTGGTTTACATTTCAGACTGATATATACTTTATCCCTGTGGACAAAGTAGAAATCTCTCTGGAATCGTTGTACATAAACCAAAACTTTCCATCTCAAAGTTAAGACCAAACTTCAGCTGACATATTGTAAAACTGGTTCACAAACACCATGGTGCTCTTAGCTTTGAACTGCAAATAATCAGCATTACAGAAATTATAAAATAAAATAAAATAAAATAAAATAAAATAAAATAAATCACACAGTCCCTCCCACCACAAGCTGTTAATAAACTGGTCATTTCAATCAAACTGTAAGAAACATAGAGAAACAAAAGGATGGTCAAGATCAACTCAGTGACCACTTCAAACCACTGGACATAGAACTTATCACTGAAGAACTGATATATTATAGACAGCCACACAATGTATATGACCAACGTGAAATCTGTCCAGAGTGAATGGGGCATAACTAGGTCAAGGTCATGTCCTTGACCTTTGACCTGATCTCTGAAGGCTGCCAACATGGGTAGATCTGTCCAGAGTGGGAGCATTATCCCTGACTCAATCTTTAAGAACCAAGTTATGAAATGATAGCGGGTGCTCAGGAGGATGTTCATAAAGATCCAAATTTTCCTTCATTTTGAGTTGCTTTATCTATTCATCAAGACGTTACGAGTTAAGGTACAGACAAGGTCCAGCTGTGATGGATTAAATTAGTGTCCGACAATAAGAAGTGCTATATGGTGTGTATGGTCGGAAATAACTACTTCTTTGTCTGTGACGTTATACAGCAATGAGATTAGTTGTTATCAAATGGAGTTACCCCTCCCCCCTTGCCTCAATCAATGGGTTATGAATTGTTTTGCATCCTTTTATTTTGGTAAAAATGATTTTGTTTTCCAGAACTCGAGAAGCACTGATCACTTATCTGTTATGTCTCAGAACTCTCCATACACAAACTGCATGAACCTGGGTGTAAAAACATGCCAGCAGTTAACCGCAGACACAGTGACATTTAGAGTAACCAGCCTGGGAAACTCCAGTGTCTTGGTATGTAACAAAGAAAACATCTGCTACACAAGTACTAGCAAAACATAAATATTACTTCCATTTTTTTTTTTTTTTTTTTTTTTTTTGGGGGGGGGGGAGAGTTTTTTAAACCCAGACGTCTATTATTTCCAAAACTGGCAACAGATTCAAGGAAAATACTTCACAACATAAAAAAAAGAGACTGAAAAGATTAAATAGAAATCCTGGGGTTTGTTACTATAGTGGTGACTACTGAGACGAAACACTGTGTAATCTGTGTCAACTGTTTGAATTGTGAACCAGGAGCTTGGTCTATTTTTGTGTATAAATGTGACAAGTCACAGGTTTGAACCAGGGGCGAGCAGGAATTCTAAGTGTAAATGTGACAAGAAAGTCACAGGGATGAGCAGGAATTTTAAGTGTAAATGTGACAAGACAGTCACAGGTTTGAACCAGGGATGAGCAGGAATTTTAAGTGTAAATGTGACAAGACAGTCACAGGTTTGAACCAGGGGCGAGCAGGAATTCTAAGTGTAAATGGGACAAAGCTGAGACATTTTTCATCCATCATAATTACCACATTACTCAATGCTGGTAGGAGAATAATAGTTTTATCATCGGTGATTAAGAAAATTACACAGAGCATGATGTGCATACAGAAATGTATGCAGGGGCAATGACCGATACTGGAGGAGAGGGGGAGGACGGACATGTTTGGTTTAATTCCGGCGGTTATTGAGTATGCTATCTGTGGCCAAGTTGGAGTTTACGATAAATCTAATTTCAAAGACGTCTTGGTCATTTCACTGTTAATTCACAAACGAAAGTGATTCCCACACCACACTGTAGCCTAGCACTAAATATGACAGCAACACACTCTGGACTTTCATTTCTTCTCCTGCCAATATAAACCATTATGCTGATAACTTTCATTTTTCTAAACAGCCCCAGGATTCCAAGAGTTCATAGTCTGTGTAGGAGAAACTCATGATGATAGTGCTGTGTCTGATATTAAAGGGATAATAACTCTTCGTTTTGGCAGAAAAATGAATTTTCCTGGAGTAAACAACAATTTTCCCATACTTACCAATGATTAATGAATCCATTTTTACATTCAAAGTTACTACCTGGTTTTTTTCTAAAAAGTTTGTTTTTTTGTTAAAATCTCTAAAGAGATTATAACAGAGTATAGCCATCAATGGGGGTCACGTGATCTGAAGACAAGCTCAGATATCAGAATAATAGCTATAACTGCTGTTTTCGTCGTAAAACAGAATATTGTATATTTCTACGAGTTATTCACAATGTTTTTATTGTGAAATAAAGATTTCATACGAAGAGTTATTATCCCTTTAAGACAGCAGAGGAATCCAAGCTATTGGTGGGAAGAGCAGGGATGGAGAGAGGGGATATATCAAAATGCGTAACCCTTGCTCCTTCACTCTGGACAGATCGGAGACTTGCCTTGTCGTAGTGCATGTGTACCAGTTGGCAGCCACACGAGATACAACGGCCCTGACACGCAGGGCAGTAATAGTACGATATGTGTGTGACGGGAAATATGGTGTTCTGAAATTGTAGTAAACATATTGAGACTGTTAAGATTCCCTGCACACAACACAGTAATTGCCCAGTACTTTGGGGACCGAGCAGGCTACAGGCAGTAATGGCGTCTGTTGTCTGGGAAGCCTGCAGATTAAGACTCCATTCACATGAAAAATCTATTTTCTAAAAATCTATTTTCTATTCGCGATAACTTGTGATCACTCCGAACGCAGCCGTGAATTAATAACAGCTTTGGTAGTAACTGGCTTGCGCTGCGAGTAATTATGCCGCGGGGTATTCAGGGCACACACCGTGATCACAAGATACCACGAATAGAAAATAGATTTTTAGAAAATAGATTTTGCATGTGAACGGTCCCAAAAGGACCCAATCAAGTTGGACTTCATTTTGCTGGGTGCACTCTATGTATAATGTAATGAAGTCA